TGAGTTGCATTATGTCGTATTCTTTCATCCTTCGTCGTAGGTTAGCCACCCGACTAATCATGCGAGAGATTTGTAGGCAGGACGTTTTTAGTTTATGTAAAGCAAATGAGTTTTCGCCCCGATTACTGAAGTAGGCCCCCAGAATTCGTATGGTTTCAACCTCTTTAGTTTACGTTCCATTAAGTTGTACGTTAAGGGATGTATTGTCAGGTGCCTTATTTCTATATACTAGGATTTTTGATTTGGTGGGGGAGCACTCCAGACCACTCTTGCGTCCTATCTTTTCTATGATGGAGGCGGCCTTTTGGAAGGCTTCTTTTATCTGACCTAGGTTACCAGACCGGCTCCAGATTGTGACGTCATCAGCATATATATGGTGGGGCGTACCTGCAAAATTTCATTTAGGTCCTCCAGGAGGCACATGAGGGTGATATTGAAGAGGAGCGGAAAAAGGACAGCCCCTTGGGGAGTACCGAAATCACCCATGGTGATGGGTTGAGATTTAAGGTCCCCTATGCGGATAGTGACTTGTCTGTCTGTAAGGAAGTCCCGCACATATGCATATAATTTTGGACCGTACCTGAGTTCCCGTAAGTTTTCCAAGATAGTGAAGTGCCGAACATTGTCAAAGGCACCCTTGAAATCAATTGCGAAATTGGCCCTTTCCGCCTGAGTGGTACCGCTGGGTAGGTTGACAATCTCGTGTTTTAGTTGGAGAATGTCCTGTGCTGACGAATGGGGACGAAAGCCGTACATAGTGTCAGGCAAGAGGTTCTGTTCTTCTAGATATTCGTTTAGCCTCATTTGTTTGGCCTTCTCCGTCATCTTACAAGCGCATGACGTGAGGGATATGGGACGGAGGTTATCAATATTGAGCGCTTTGCCGTCTTTTGGGATGAAAGTGAGCTCGGCCGATTTCCACTCTAGGGGTAGCGTTCCAGCGTCCCAGTACTGGTTCATTTTATCTACTAGAAACTGAGTCATATCATCGCTTAGGTTAGAGAGCAGCCTTATCGATACCTGATCGGGCCCCGGGGCGGTACCTTTCCTCATGCTTTGGATTGCCGCTTTAATTTCGACGACCGTAAACGCTTTTGAAAGTTCTGGATTATCGGTGCTGTCATAAAAGGGTATGGATGCATGGTCCAAGGCAGTGATGACATACTTCAACCGTAGGGCACCGAGTAAGTTTGTTTTGGGACGTTAAACCCCACAAATCAATCAATCACCGAGTAAGTTCGCATTGTTGTCAGGGAAGCCGTGTATAACCCTCCGAAGGCTTCTTCTGTTCGCGCCTCTGGTAGACTCTGGGTCAATGAGGTGACGCAGAAGGTGCCAGGCAGATTTCGTATGGAGAGACCCTGTAAAGGAGTCAATTTTTGCGTGGTTACACGGGACAGGTGGTGCCATCTGGCGGGGTGCAACTGAAACAAAAGCGACTGCAATCTCGAAGCTAAGGGCGGGAAATTGATCAATGGCCATTGCTGCTGCTGTGGCTCCCGCTGCTTTCGGTCTGCTGCTACTAGTTCAGTGAAGCCGGACAACGTTCTGCACGGCAACAGCCACGTGAGACGGTCCAATTGGTCTGCTTCTTGAGGCGGGTAACTTGAAGTGCGCTAACTCGATGTGGAGCACTAAAACGTGATTTTATTTCAAAATAGGTCCTTCCTTGATACAACAGTAACACTACGAGGTTTCTGGACCTCCATTTCAACAATCAATGTCGACTTAATAGTAGACTTTAGTGTCCCTTAAAGTCATTCTGATTGTAATGATATTATATAATTCTGTGTAGCAGCCACATAATGTCATTATGCAAATATCATTCTATTCGAATGACATTTAAACGTCTAGTGTGATAGGGGTATTACTTTTCTGTTACTTTATGAAACAAGTAATGGATCATGAACCAAATGATCAAGCTTAATAAAAATATGCAAAGGCACACCGACAGTCGAAAGTTTATGTGGTGTAACCCTACACTGAGGAAACTTAGAAGGCGGTTCATACTAGCAATATTTGTGTATGCCTGATTTTTTGCATAAATAAAAAATGTGGTTAATGCACAGGGAAGAGTGCAGAATCCTAGGATGTTTATTAATCATACTTTGAAGCGCATATCAAGAGGGATGGTGTGTGTCACTCACGAGAGAAGACTACGTTCATTGACGTTAAAGTTGAATTAAACCCTGTTTGGAGAGCTTTGCAACGGCTGAACATACAAACTGCTTGTGAGACTTTTTCGCAATACCCAAAACTACACGCCTCTAGAGTACCAGAGCAGAGTCATCTACAAGTACGACGTGGGGATTGCGACATTACTTACGCTGTTGAAATGGGCAGAAAAATATCAATAAAAAGCATAAAGGGGGTGCTCATAAAGCAACCCATGCAATGGTTCTTGGACAGAGCTTGTTAAGCACTTCTAGACAGCAGCGCATAGCTTCGATCTAAACAATGCGACCACACTGGCTCCTAAAAGGTTGAGGGAGGGGGGGGGGGGGGGGCAGAGAGGAAAAACTGCTGGAATGGTGGGTCATTCAGAGCAACACATCGGCTTGTAACAACCATGGTCCCATGGACGTTGATAAAGACTGTAGACAGACTTAGTTAGAGCAACGAACACTAGATTTGGTGGCACTAATTTCACAACTGAGAATTTACTTGCAGAAAAAAAAAAAAACACCAGGCCTGCGTGGAAGGCGCAGCACGGTCACAGCGAAAGCTAGAAGAACGGCCTTTCAGAGCCTTTTGTAAACATTCATTGGGTAACTGCTGCAAGCACACTTGCTGGGTACCCATTATGGCATAAATAATAATCATTTCTGGGTAGTAGGCCGGCATTCGCTATGCTATCTTTCGTCAGTTTACTCAGAAGCGTGGTATCGGTTAAACACACTCAAGGAATTTTGTGCCAATTATTCATGCAGCAGCTGACGATGAGGAATTATGCCTGAAGTGGCTTTGTGCCACACTTAATTGGTGATCAAAAACAAGCTTTTGCAATGGGTTGGAGCATTGGACGACCCACTTGTTACGCTGTTCGCATTGTGTGATTTTGCAGTTCTAAAACGCTTTATTACTCATATTAACCATCATTAACATATTATGACATCAAGCCTGCCTAAGGCAAGTTTGTGAGTAAGTCCCAAGCACCAGCGTGGCTCAGTGGTACAATACTGGGTTGGCACACTGTGGACCCGGGTGTGAGCCCCACTGTGTCCTTGGTACTAGACTTTTTTTGCTTATTTGGACACCGGCGGCGGCCAATTACAGAGCGGGTGACCAAAGTTGTGATCTCATAACAGCTTTCACTGTAGAACATAAATTCACAAGCTGTTCAGGGTGCTGTGTAATACAAAAAGAACACTAAATTCCTCCCCCATAAACATCACTAATTTAGACAATGACTCATCTGTCTAATGTAACACTTTCCACATGTTGATAGACTCAAGTAAACCCCTGCAACGGAACATTCTATGAAAGACATGCTTTTCGTCAATTGGGTGTTTGTGAGCGCTCTGAAAATTTGCCGCATGTTTAGTTGGAAGACTTCGAACGCTTGCACTACCCTCGGTAGGTTCCTTTGGAGCGTCAAGCTTTAACTTGGAACGCTCCTGACCACTCTGACTTCAAAGTGAGAGCGTAGCACGATCTCGGCGATCTTGCCCAGTGGGCAGTTCACGTGGCACCAACTGGCTACCATATGGTTGCCAGCAGGTGACAGCACTAGTGCCCATTTTGGAAGGAGACATTGCAAGGTGCATAATGCTTAGTGCACATGTGTTGCTCGTGTGTGTGGGGCAGAAAGTAGGCAGTTAGTGAAGGTGGAGGAGGCTATGTAATTGATCAGCACCATTCGTCGATGCAGTGCAGGAATGTTTACCCAGCGGCTTCACGCGCTGGCTGCACGGTGCTGCTACAAGCGCGCTTCTGATTCTGTCAGTGACTCTATTGCCGACGTATTCGGTTGGTACGCTGCCTCTCGAGCTCTGATGGTGAGCTGCCTTGGCATCTGGCCAGTCCGAGCCAGGGGACCGAAGCAGCCAACTGAATACACCGTCAGAAATGATACATATTCCCCCCCCCCCCCCCCCCCCCCCAAAAAAAAAAAGTTACGAACATAAACCTAACAAGCTGGTCAGTTACAGCATTTGATAACTGCAGTCTTCAGAAACTATAGTTGTACAGTTAGTACCGAATCAATGGAAGAGTCTTTGGAGCTTCCTGTCACTCGTCTGTTGCCATAAATTATACGATATATGTTTCTTTCATAAAATTAACTACAGTCCCACCCAGTGTAACAATATTATTCTTCCCGATCATACATCTGCTCTCGTTCTGCTTATCTCCAAAAAATGCCTGTGGTGATGTCGCAGCCAGGGCACAGCACTTGTGTTGTAAAATATTATGCTTAAATACAAATGCCTAGAAAATAAACATATGAAAAATTGTATAAAATTTTTTTGCATTTGAACGGACATGGCATCAGCCCTATACTATGTAAGTTACATGTCAGTCAATCTTGACACATAAAAACCGTGTCAAATAGTTCGTTTACTTAAACTTCTGTGCAAGTGCGGGCAGTTCGTTTCTGAAGATTCCTCTCCAGATAACTACTGAGTAAGAGACCAATAGCTTACAGAAGAGAAATCAATTGCACGAAGGAGCACACAATATATGCCCCGTTGTCTCTGTTGGTCCATTATCTCGTGGTCGTTATGGCGGCTCTGCAAAAGTCCTGCAGAGCGATATTTATTATGCCAATTTTTCCCGCTTCACTTTTCATTTCAGTGTTTCTAGGTTAAGAAATTTTACTTTATTTTGTAAAATTTAAAACTTCTTGTCAGTCAAGATATGTGGTCTTAACAACCCCTGAAGTTGATCTAAAAAAAAAAAGCGAAGAAATCTAAAGCTTCTTTAAACTTATTGAGCTGGTCGCTGATATCTCCCTGTCAGGGCAGATGGACACAAAATGAAATGTACTTATTCTCATGCAGGGATGAATCACCTGGTGCAACCACACTTTACAGAGACCCTTCGAACATTCTCTAGTGTGGCCGCAAATGAAGAATGTTTTGCGGAAGCACATGACGCAGTTGCTCAGAAGAAACACTTTCAGTGTGAGAAGCGTCGCAAGTAAGGCTTCTTCTATCTTGCAGTTAAAGCAAGTCTAGTGAAAAGGCTTTAATGATACATGCTGTGCTAAAGACGAAAGGAACTTCGAGTGCACAAGACGGCCGCTGTCTCGCAATTGAAAAGTGTCAAGAAAAAAAAAAAAAACAAAGCGGGAAAAACCATGCTTATTTTTTCGAAATAACTCTTCACTTGCGAGATGGCGTTCGTTCTGTGCACTCTGTGTTCCGTTCGTCCTTCTTTGTAGCGAGAAGCTTGATTCTGTGTTTTTGTTTCCTTTTGCAGAAAAAGTAGTGCAGTCTGGAATTACGTTCGGCATATTGTGTTGTCTGTGAAGGAGGCATCGAATACAGATATAGTGGTCACACTGCAAGAACTTCTTCGGTGTGCACAGGAATTGTGTGAGTACATTGTCCTGTACTAGTGCATTCATGGGCCATTTCAGGTGTGTAATCATTCATTGTTGGAAGTAACCCGAGTTTCTGGAGGAAAAAAAAAAAGGTCCATTGAATGGCTTGGTTGCATAATTTTCTTGTTATGTGTCAGGAAGGCACAGGGAAGTCCTATTTATTTCCTGTTCTATGGAGCCGAGGACTTGTCCATCAGAGTTATTCAATCATATGAGTTGCGAAACTGCATTCCGAAACCTGAACACGCCATTGGCCGACCTAGCGGGAGTGAGTAGATCGTCGCACCCTCTGGGAGCGACAATACAAAACACTGCACCGCCACTTGTGCGTGCACTTCTTTTAGGCTGCTCAACACCGCGTGCAACACTGGCGTTGTCGCCTCAATAAATAATCTTGGCTTGTACAGCGCCCGCCGCCGCAGTCAGCTGTTTTTGCTCTGTAAAGGCGTAATCAAAGCCGGGTCAAGGCGGCAAGTTTAATTTCGTCAAAGGTGGTGCTTGCAGTTTCGCGCTACGATGGTTTTAATGCTGCGCCCTGATTATTTCTATTACTCCTCGTTTGCTCATTTGAAAATGTGTGCTTGAGATCAATTGCTCACAGGAAGCTTGACGAATCCTTTTAACTGTGCCACTCTGCGGTTCACGACGTGTCTCACTAACACGACGTGAGTGATGGTCGCACAAACACGACACAGACACAGTAGAGTGCAAAACAAAGCACAACAATACGGATCAGTACTTACGGTGAATTGGCCGCTTTGTCTTCCTCGCAGTGGTCAAATTCCACTAATCGCAAAATCAATGAGATACTGGCTGGGATACTATATAAATATCAAAGCCCAATGACAAGAAAGTGGGAAGATTGAACATTGCTATTTAGTTACAACTAGCAGTGCAAGCACTTTTTCAGGTGCGATGTTCGTGGAGTCTTTCCAATGGCACCGGCATTTGCTGCTCGGGCAACGTCGTCTACTGTCAATGACAGACTTACAGGTTGGATCCACCTGGATCAACGCTGCATCCCACTTGCATCACGCCTTGCCACTCACTAATTGGCCGAAATGTAAACATCGTGGGCTCTCTACATGAATCTGATAAACTACCGACTTCTCTGCACTGTCCATTTACGCTGTGCTAGCTGTACACCACAGGAACATGCTGCTTATAGCCGCGTTACTTGTAGCGCAATGCGGAAAACATGAAAAAGGACCGAGCATCAAAAGAACAAGCAGCTACTCTGTCCTCTATCACGTCTCCACCACTGTGACAAAGTAACATGTTCAGCACCCTTAGGCACCAAGTCACCTAAGAACAAGTTCTAGGTGACTTTTTCAAGTTTCACCGAATCAAGTGATGAGTAAAGGCTTGGCAGTGAAAGGTCCCTGCAACACTTTTTGAGCATGGTCAGAAAACGCTGCTGATCGGTAGTAGAAGCTCCCGAGAACACGCGAGCCAAATATTATAGCAGAGCAAGTGTCCTGTCATCCACAATAAATTGTCAAAGTATGCTAAAAATTGCTTTCTCTTCTCTCAACAAATGATGAAAGAAGCTCAAAAATCACTCGTAGAAGGCCATCTGTCAGCCATTGGCTGATTTGAACATGGCACGTTCAGTCATTGCCGGGATCACTACGGTAGACCATGACTTGTCTACTCATACGAGAACACTCACGCTGAATAAGTCATGTATACGGAGTAAAACAAAAGAAAAAGTGCTGAAGGTCACGAGGCGTGCGTGTCGTATTATTTTTGCCCATGCTGTCCCCTCTGCTTAGCTTCGAGCGCTTTCATCGGAATGTGAGAAGAGAGAATGTGATTGCAGCGTGTGACAAATCTTTGTAACTCCGCTCGTGCTGGACGGATTCTTAAGGGGAGACGTGGGCCGAAAAGTCGCGGTATTCCGAAAAATTTTTGCTTTTTTTTTGTTGTATTGGCATCTTTGGACTATAATCTTTTACTTCTAAAAATATCAAGCTGAAATTTGCACGAGAAATGATCTAAAATAGCTTCTATGTGGGGAGTGGTGACGTGCGAAATGTGCGAAAGTTGCCAGAAATGGCGTAATTTGCGTTGTCCTGTCGCGAAATTGACGCATTGGCCGCCATTTGCAATAGTGCATGCATTCTGCGAAGGCCTTCCCCTTCACAATCTGCTAGTAGCCAGTCTCGTATCCTCACGAAGAATACATAAAAAACAAGAAAAACAACACATACCCCACGCGTCTTGAATGTCGTGTTAAGCAGCGCAAGCCCGCCATCTGTCGGTAGTGTGCTCCGCCTCCTCCCCCTCCTATCTTTCTGGCAGAAGAGCGAAGCCTCGGACGTCGCGATCGAGTTCGGCGTTTCTCTGCAGTTTTGCGTCATGGCAAGCCCCAAGAAGCGCAGTCTAGATAACCGAAAGTTCAGAACTCGCCCCAGGTATCGAGGGAAACGGCGTCGAACGCTTCCCAAAGCGACAGCGAACACCCATGTTACCGCCAACCAATGTGCCCCGACTTCAGATAGGCCTAACACTGACAGCGAACCCCGCGGCGAGAGTGATAGCCGCTGCCATGCAATTCATAAGTCCATCCCGAATAAAGAGCGGATTCTTCGAGAGTGAACGTAGACCAGTAGGTTCTGTTACTGCCAACATGCTACTTTGCAAAATTGATGCGCTGACTGCCCTTGTGGTGGGTGCGCGATGCCCAACCTGCCACAAACTGAAACTCAGCGTCCGAGAGGTAGCTGGAAAGTGCAAAGGGCTTTTGGCATTCCTCAAACTGTACTGTGAAAGCACTGATTGTCCTGAATCTACACTTTCATTCACGCACGCGTCGCGGCGTACTTCTTCGGCCAGGGACCAACGGACGAGTGCTCGTTTCGACAGCGGCTGCTCGTGTGATAGCTTTGCTGTAAATGTGAAAACAGTTCTGGCAGTACGCGCTATAGGCGCAGGCCACGACCAATTTTCACGATTCTGTGCGATTCTCGGTCTTCCGAGCATTCAGTGGAAGCTGCTTTGATTGTGCCCCAATTCTATGCAAAAAAATGGTTTACTAATAAATGCCAACTTTCCAAACTTTCAAACTTGTTTTTCTCATTTTCATTTTTTTTGACAATTTCACTTAACGGGCAGCTTTTCATGCACTTATACTTATTGTATAGTAACGAAACTTGGCAAGCATATTCTTCAACACATGCAGAATGCAAATATCTACTTGAAATTGCAATGCCTACCAGAATTAGTTGTGATAATATTAGGTTATTGTTTCAAGGGAGATTGAAAATAATTAGTCATTCAACACGATTTTTTTTCTTGGTTCCAATATTTCTGTGACATATCTGGATATATATTTGCACTTCACAATCCACCAAGAGTTAAATAAGATCTTACACAATGCTTTTACTGAAAGTTAAGTACATAAAAGAGTACCCGCAAAACATGCAACTTTTTGCTATTGTGCATGGCGTAACTCAATAACTATAGCAGCTACACAAAACATGATTGCATATTTGAAATCTCCATGAAAAACTATATTAATAACGAAATTTTCATGTGTCCATGACTAGAAATAAAAAAAAAGTTCTTTCGAGGAGCGTCTCCTCTTAAAAGTCTTGTGGCTTTGAATTCGTGAGGCAATAAGGTTTTTAGTGAATCTTTTTCCATGATTACTTGATAAAGTGTTTAGGGCCCCTTTAACTTGTTAAAGGGGCCATCAAACTCAATTTTTGACCATAATCTGTGTTGTGTGGGTTGATCTTCGTACGCTCACAGAAAAACTGGCAAAATTGTAGAGCGTTTGGCCATGTCACTAATTTATAATATGTTTTTATAGACGAGTGAGAGAGAGACGCTGCAGTCACCGAAGTGAGCGGACACGTCCGCTTCGGCTCAGTCTTTTGCGAATGTTTCCGCACCATTTTTGTCGCTGTGTAGTGCATATTTAAGATCATCCGATCCGTGAAGAAGACAGGACTCGGCAGATATCGAACTTTGAGGTGAGCCACTGCTTTTCTGGACATTATCAACTTTTGTGCGGCTGCCGCGTTGGCCAAGCGCTAGGCACAGCGTCTGGCATCCCTACGTGGCGGGACGCGTGCGTCCGGCATGGCAGCTATGCAAGTAGAAGGAAAAGTGCGGTTGGCAGAGGAATTTACTGAAGATCTAAGATGATGGACGGTGTCCAACCGAAAATCAAGACCTCCGACGAAGCCTGCACCAGGTGATGATGGTTCACAAGGCGAGCTGGCTGAACGATGGGGCACAGATGGACGGCGCAGAGGCTTCCCAATTATGCAACGCATTCTGAAGGCGTCGTGAATGCCACCGATGCCGGAAGAGCACATCAAGATGGTAATTCGCCCACGGGGTGGACTGAATTAGGAAAAAGTTGGTTCTACAAGTGTGGGCAAGGCTATCGTCGAGGCGGCAGGCCTCACTACTGAGCAGATTAAAGAAGACGTTATTTGCTCCAGCTTCAGACAAAATATCTTGGTGGCTAATATGCCAGAAAGGAGCAACGCTGAACTCTATGTCGGAATCAGGTCAGTAAGAGTGGCGGATAAAGTTTTTGACGTCAGTGCATGCGAGACTGCCCTACACTCTACATGTAAAGGGGGTCATTCGCCATGTAGACAATATGTATGGACCTGCTGCACTTGAGCGGAACATCGTAAATGATCGCAACACAAGAATCAAGAATACCGGCTCAGTAATTATCGTGTTCGACGGCTTAAGAGTCCCCAAGTTTGTAAGGTATGGGCTAACTTTGGTCCGTTGTTACTTTTATCGCAAGCAAGTCGACGTATGCTACGTGTGTGAGAAGCTTGGACACCGGGCAGATGTCTGTCCTGCGCTTGATTGCCTTGAATGTCGAGGGTGCAGTGCTCGGAATTCTGCTGAGGACCATAACTGCGAGCCTTGTTGCAAGCTCTGTGGAGGTCGACACCTGGCGGCGGATAAACAATGCAGACAACGGTAGCAGGTTCCCTACGTCGTGCGTGTTCGCCG